AAAAGAAAGAAAGAAAAGGAAAAAGAAAAATGTATTTAAACACACAGAACTTAGCTAATAATGTCACATTGCATGGTTCTTCAATGATAGAATCAAAATGGAAATAAATATGTACTTCTTAAATTCCTAACACTGTTAAGAAGTATTTTTATCTCAAATTATTTAAACTTTGAAAAATCAACTTACTTTAATCTCATTGTAGAGAGTTAGTAAGAGGAGTTCCCTAGAATAATTCAATTGAAAAAATTTTTGTGGGCACATAATAATTGTACGTATTTGTGGAGTACATGAGATATTTTAATAAAAGCCTACTATATGTAATGATCAAATCAGCATAATTGGGATATCCATCATCTCAAATACTTATCCTTTTTTGTTTGTGTGTCGGGAACATTTCAAATCCATTTCTCTGGTTACTTTGAAACATATAATAAATTATTGTTAACTACAGTTGCCCTATTGTACTACAGAATATTAGATCTTATTCCTACTACCTATTTTTGTAACCAGGAATAATTAAATTTTTGTTAATGTTTTAAATGTGAAGGATGAGATAAATGAATTTAAAGCCAATAAATATGTATATGAAGAGCTGTTTTTCGCATTAAGTCATGTTTAATATTTTCTAGACAATATAGCATTGAAAATTAATGACTTTAAGAAGTAAGGAAAAGTATAACTATAGGGATTGCACTGTTGAACAAAGTTAAATAAATGTAACAACTGCTACTAAACAATGTGAGTTTGTTCAGAGTGACTGAGATCCCGACTAATTTTTACTTGGAAATCTGAACATTATAATACTATTTTAAAAACTTGATTCTGTGAATTACAAAACTAGTATTTATAGGTAATTTTAACCATTCTAGATTTCCAGGTTTATCTAAAAGAATATTTAAAAATAAGCTCTTCAATAATGCCAATACAATATCTTATCTTTTAGAATTCATATTGTTGTTAAAGTTATGAAAAACTTACCATTTTCCGCGCTTGCCTTACTGCTGTGATCTCTTGGGCAGTGTGCTTTAAATAACAGATTGTTCAGTTTTTGAAATATTGGTAGTGATAACCATCTTTATTGAGGACAGATAGTGTACTTAGTACAGCACAGAACATACTGCACACTCCCTGACAAAAAGAAATCAGAAAGTTCAAATAACTGATAATTCGGATAAGCTAAATGAATTAAAGCAAATGAAGTCTAGTCAGCAAGGGCAGTGGAGTATATTTAGGAACAAAAATATTAACATATTGGTGGTTGAAACTGAAGTTCATACAACTAATGATGATGATTGTTATGAATTAAATAGTACCCCCAGCCCCCAATTTGTATGTTGTTATACCCCTGCAAACCTCAGGATGTGACCTTATTTGGAAATAGGGTCATGGTAGCTATAATTAGTTAAGATGAGGCCATGGCCAGGCGGAGTGGGTGGCTCACGCCTTTAATTGCAGTACTTTGGGAGGCTGAGGCAGATGGACCACCTGAAATCAGGAGTTCAAGAACAGCCTAACCAACATGGTGAATCCCTGTCTCTACTAAAAATACAAAAAGTAGCCAGGCATGGTAGTGCATGCCTATAATCCCAGCTACTCTGGAGGCTGAGGCAGGAGAATCGCTTGAACTTGGGCCAGGGAGCAGAGGTTGCAGTGAGCCAAGATTGTGCCATTGCACTCCAGCCTGAGCAACAAGAGTGAAATACCATCTAAAAAAAAAGAAAAGATGAGACCATGCTGGAGTAGGGTGGGTCCCTAATCCAATATGACTGATGTCCACATAAAAAGGGGAAATTTAAACACAGACGTGATTACAGAGACAATGTCATGTGAACTTGAAGATGACTGTCCATAAACTAAGGAGAGAGGCCTGGCTGAAACAGAGCTTTCCCTCCCAGCCCTCAGAAGAAACCAACCCTCCCAACACTTTTTCAGACTAATAGCCTCTAGAACTTTGAGGCAATACATTTTCCTTGTTTCAGCCACTCATTTTGTAGTAGTTGGTTATGAGAGCTTTAGGAAACTAATGTGATGGTTTTACAAGAGTACCAATTTACTTTGTATAGAGTATAACAGAAAAAGATATAGGGTTTATCCTGACAAAAGGTGAACATTATTACTAAATTTCTAGAGTAAATGTGAGACAGTAGATATCCCAGTAGACCTAATGCTGGGGAAACCATTTTTACCGTGTATAGGTCTAGACTGTGCCACCTTTGAAACTGGAAAACAAGAAACAAGGAAATCCTACAAAACAATCTATGGAGAATGTCCTAAAGATTAAATGGTTAGGAAAACCAGCCGAAAGAAAAGTTGGGGACTTTGAATTATAGAAAATCATCATTAATTTTAACTTCAGGAATTTGGAACTGATAATTAAGTGAATTTTACTGTACACATATTAGTTATGTTATTAGAAGAATAAGTAAATAATTTATGGACTGTTTTCAAGCATCTTCCAGTATCTTAAGGCGTTACTTTACTCTTATGAAGAATGAATACGCCGAATTCCAGTTGGCACCGGGCTAATGGGGGCTGCTAAAATCCTAGTTTCTCCTCCCCTAAAACCTTTGAATTCAACTTGAAGCACAAATAAGCCATTCATCAAATTAGTCTTTTAGCATTACTAGGAGATCAAGGATACCATAAACCTCAAATTGTTTGTAAAGAGAAAAACAGAAAATTTCTGTGGCAGCTATGGATAATGGGGAAGAGGTGTGTTTAGTTTCTCACTGGAAAAGAGGAGAAGGGAGCAGGAAACTAAATGAAGCACTACAAAAAACTCTTTCAGAAAGAGAAAGTCTAAAGTGTTAAACGTCTAAAGAGGTCAGGTATGGAAGTTAGTAATTCATAGCGCTTACGGAAATGTGAATTTGAGCAGATTGAAGCGGGTAGCCTTGACAAAACATTGCTTCTGTAGGTGAGAGATAAATGGAGCAGTGGAAATGCCCCTCAGCCAGCAAGGAAGGGAAAGAAAAAAGTATTGGGAAAGTTGATGGTCGTGCAGAAATGAAAGAGAACTAGAAGACATGCCAGTTACTCTTGCTTACCCCTAGCAGCACATCATCATCTATGAAATAAACTGAAGTTCACTATAGTGACAGAGGGAGCACTCTTGAACTAGGATTCCTGTGCATGAAATGCTTAGAAATAGGAAAAATCGCAAATAATAAATTACAAGATGGAAGGGAGAATGTATTGAAATGAAAATTTAATGTGTCACTTAAGATAGATATGAATGAAAATGAGGTAAAGATGGATATCAGAAGGGTCAGAGATATAAAGTGGTTGAATGGAAGACAGGCAAAGAAGATCCAACATGAATGTAACTGAAATATCTAAAGAAGAAGTATTTGAACCAGATACATATGTAAAGCTGTTATCTAAGAAAACTTTATAGTAGAAATAAGAAAAAAAAAAACCTAAAACAACATATCCAAAAGGGGCCCACTGTGTCCTTGGGAAAACTGACTTAGGGTGATCAACCCCAAGACATGTAGTAAAGTTATTAGACTTTAAAGACAAAGAAAGTATCTTCAGGATCTCTAGGCAAAAGAACAAGTTACTTAATGGCTGAGAAAATTAGTCTGCCCTCAGACTTCTCAAAATAGCACATAAAAGCAAGGCAAAAGAGGAGCAGCATATAAAAGCAAGGTGAAAGTGGAGCAGCATTTTCAGGAAACTCAAGGATAGGTATGAGCCAAGGATTTTATATCTAGTTGTTCTTCAAGGATCAAGACTATAAAGAAAAACAATTTGAAACATGTGAAAACTCAGGGAATACTGTGCCCATGAGACCTTCCTGAGGAATCAGTTAGAGTTGTGGTCCTCTAAGTGTGGTCCCCCAACTAGCAACATCAGCAGCGCTGGGGAACTTGTTAGAAATGCATATTTTCAGGCCCACCCCAGACCTACTGAGTGAGAAACTTTGGGATGGTGTCCATCATTGTGTGTTTTAGCAAGCCCTACAGGTCATTCTGATGCATACCCTATAAGAAGATGAAGTTCTTCTAGCCAAGGGGTGATTGAGGAAACTTTGGCAGAGAACTGATAGTGAATATTGATATTGATTATAGATACAGGTCTAAGAAATGAGTAGAGGCATAATTGGAAGAACAGTATGAAAACCATCATATATATTGTCAAAGTGGAAAGAATACAACTAAAAATGAGAAAATAAGGGACAGAAACAGGAAAAAGTAGAATTAAATTATTAATTATTGTATGGGTAATAGGTAGAAGTCAGAGAGTACCACTTAAAACAGTAAAATAAGATAGTAAAAAATTAAGCAAGAAAAAGAGATGATTAAAGGCATCATTAAAAAATATAATGGCCAAGAAACTGGTAGGACAATTTAATTAAATGCAATATATAATCCTGGACTGAGAGAAAAATTGCTGAGAGGAATTTATTGGTATAACTGATGAAAGTGGAATATGGAATGTAGATTAAATAAAATATTGCATCAATGTTTACCTGAATTTAGTAACTTGATGTGAATATTTAAGAGAATATTCTTGTTCTCAGGAAATATATGCCGATAAAGTGGTAAAGGGCAGATTTTGATATTGAAATTTTAAATATTGGAATGACTTTATAATTTTCTTCACGTATTTAAAAATGTGATTACTATTTACCTATACGGTATGATTTGAAGCTAAGCAGAGATGAAAATATATTTGATCATTTATTCACATTCCTTGTGCTGTTATCCTGTGATCATTTACTATAAACCTCATGTGGATAAAGCAAAAGAAGTTTTGCATTGAATACTTAAGCTTTCACTTTGCACTGCATATTCCAAACAGAATAAATCCAGCAAATAAATTTAGTTGTTTCTTTTTAAATATACTAAAACTCAGGGTATTAGTATGAACTAACTTAAGATGAAAATAGTAAAGATGAGTACAGATGATATTTCTTAATATTTTAAAATTAATTTATACCAGCTTTATCCAAATTTTTAAGCAATAGTGAAGTACTTTATTTTTCTTTTTTAAAGATATGGATGTAATGATGCCCTTGATAAATGAACAGAATTTTGATGGGACATCAGATGAAGAACATGAGCAAGAGCTTCTGCCTGTTCAGAAGCATTATCAACTTGATGATCAAGAAGGCATTTCGTAAGTGTTATGGTTTATAAGTCTCCTTTTCTTTTCATTCAGTATGTATTTTGTAATCTTCTTCTATAGGCAAAACATTCTATTAGATTACAAGACACAAATATAAGACATCGTCTCCACTTCAACGAGTTCATAGTCTGTTTGGAAAAGAAATGCATTTAAATCACAGAGCAGTGTATAGAAATTACTGCAATAAACTGAACTTCACTATAGTGACAAATGCTAGGGATCTTGATATGTAACAAATGCCAGGGATCTCAATGTGTAACAAATGCTAGGGATCTTGAAATAAGGGAGATCTGATTAAGTGGAAAAGGAATGTTGAGAGGTGGCTTCTGAAATAATCAGGAGGTAGTAAATGTTTCTTTATTCTGAAACAAAGTCATGGAGGTAGGAAAGCATTGTAACTTTTTTTTTTCTTTTTCTTCCCCACTTATTTATTTTATTGCATTTTAGGTTTTGGGGTACATGTGAAGAACATGCAAAATTGTTGCATAGGTACACACGTGGCAGTGTGCATTGTAACTTTTTAAAACCTTTTTTGACACTTTGTCATTATTAATAGATTTGAATAATTTCTCATTCTAATAATAGTTTAATGCTTAAAGTGATATGCAATTGATCAGAAAAGAAGAATATAAACTGAAAAAACATTTGGGCATTTTCGTTTCATGAGTTTAAACTATTTGCTCTTCTTTCTTATTTCAACTTATTTTTTCCTGATGAAGAGACTTCCTTCAGATGCCTGTGGAAACTATTCTTAGGTCAAATCCCTTAGGGAATTCCTGGTATCTAAAAATTAATTAGTATTTATCTTACCTGCTGACACATATAGTTTTACAACTTGTATAACCTGTATTTTTTTTTTAATTAACTTCTTAGGTTGACAATCATAAATCAAATGTGTTTAGTATCATGGTTACGTAGGTAGTGTCAATACATTGCTGTTACCAGCCAAATACTCAACACTGTTTTGAAAATCATAGCAGCAAAGTGTCTTATGAGAAAATTACCTTTTTAAAAAAAATTTATTTATTTACTGTGTAGAAAACCGCACTGTAAAGAGGATGCCTTTAAGCCCTTATTTTCTTTTTTCTTTTTTTAGACGGAGTTTCACTATTGTTGCCTAGGGTGGAGTACAATGGCGTTATCTCGGCTCACCGCAACCTCCGCCTCCCCAGTTCAAGTGATTCTCCTGCCTCAGCCTCCCAAGTAGCTGGGATTATAGGCTCCTGCCTGATGTCTGGCTATTTTTTTGTATTTTTGGTAGAGACAAGGCTTCACCATGTTGGCCAGGCTGGTCATGAACTGCTGACCTCAGGTGATCCCCTGGCCTCAGCCTCCCAAAGTGCTGGGATTACAGGTATGAGCCACCATGCCCGGCCAAGCCTTTTTTAATTTAATTTTTTACTATCTTGTTTGACAGATAGTTCATTTAAATATCTCATTTAATATCCACAATAACTCTTGTTATTCCACTTTTAAGTAGCAAAGATAAGGCTTCAACCAAGTACGACTTTTGGTCCAGTGATGGGATGGAATGTTATTTGGTTCCTTGCCTAGATTAATTTTCAGTTCCCTTCTAGTACTAAAACCATGATCATGTTATAATAGCTTTTGTTCTAAAACATTTAAGTCTTATATTTAAGTCTTACATCTTTTACTTTTCAGATTTGTACAAACTCTTATGCACCTTCTTAAAGGAAATATTGGAACTGGCCTTTTAGGACTTCCATTGGCAATAAAAAATGCAGGAATAGTGGTAAGACTTACCTTTGTAATCACCAGTTAAGATGCAGTTATCAGTCTCATTTATAGCAAGTCAGCTATAACCTGGTAAGGTGACGTTTCTGTGGTCATTTAGATGCCGTCTTGATAAAATTGTGTGAACTGTGAAAATGATATCTAACAAAAAAATGCTAATTATTCTATTCATTTCTACTTCATTACTTATTTGTAATATTTAAGCAAAAAAACTCACAAACCTAAAGCAGTCTTTGATTTTTCCAGACATAGTTTTATCTTATTAATATTTTGGATTTTTAGGAATTGAATTAAGCAGTGTAATCATAGCAACAAATATAGAGTAGGTTATTGGTAATGTGAAATTGTACAGTTTTTTAGAGTCAAATAGACAGTTTTCAGATTTAAATAATAGTTAATTAAGAAAAGTAATAATAATAGCTTTTAAAAACCAATATGTAAAAGACACTTACTGTAATTATTATATTAAAGACAACCTTGATAGGGGAGAAGCCCATTTATGAGGTAATAAAGTTACATTTAACCTTTTTTGAATGGACCAGTTTCTAAAAACAGTTTTAACTATCATCTTTCTCTGCATTTGACTATTTTGTTCCCCCTAATTTAGATGATAAAAACTTTTGTTTATAAAAATAAACCTTGGCAATAATTTGATTGTATCTTAAAAATTACAGGTATCACTTTAATTTTAGTAAATAAATATTTAAAATATTTTATTTACTACTTTTTGAAATAATTATTTTCTAAGCATGGTTTCCGACACATAGTGAGTACTCAGCAAGCAGTCTGTAGAAGAAATAAATTGCTCACAGTCTCCATTTGATACTGTACTTTTTCTTGATTTAGATAATGACGCATGGATGCATATAGTTATAATGATGGGTCACTGATAGTTGTAGACTTGCCATCTGATGTTAAATATGATCTTTTGTTCTACCCTACTTTGTTATCTATACTCTATATTCATGGGTTTGAGTAGCTAAGTTGATAAGATGGATGTGGTTGTCTTAAATATTACTCCTCTTTCTCTATCTAGTTTGTTAGTTTGCCTTTGTGTAGTGACTAATCATTTTGCCCAACAAATATTTATTCACTGCACATGATTTCTATTAAATATTTAAATCTTATAAATTTTTTCCCCACAGCTTGGACCAATCAGCCTTGTGTTTATAGGAATTATTTCTGTTCACTGTATGCACATATTGGTACGTTGCAGTCACTTTCTATGTCTGAGGTAAATGTGGATTTGTTAAGCCATTTATTTTGAAGCTATCTTTTTATTTAGATCATCAGATAGTCTTATATTTCTACTGTGTGTTGTATTTCCTTTAAACTCTTATATAGATGCATCTAAGGTAATGAATATAGAAGAGGGTAGCTTTTCATATGATTTAAATCTGATTAGAATCAGTTTTTAAAATGTAGCCTCATGAGTGAAATAGAATGGTTTCTCTTAGTATAAATGGAAAAAATCAGAAAAGATATATGGAGGTAATGGAGGCAGTGGTGACTTTTAGTTATAGCATAATGGTCTTCAATGTATAGGTAATTCTGTTTTTATTGTCATTTGTGCTGTCTGCTGATGTATGGGTTAGTAGATGGTCAACAAAATAGTATTCTTTTTCTTTAATTTTGTATCATGAAATATGTCTACTGGACAATAGACCTAACTTTTTTTAAAAAAGTAGATATTATCTAGTCTAGTAGCCTAATATCAAGTCTTGACTCTTTTGTTGTTATATAGTCTTAAAACTTTGGGCAAATCATTTATGAGCTTTATATGATAACATATACTTGGAAAGTTAAGAGAGAGAGAATGGAGAAATAATATCTACCTCATGGGAAGATTAAATGAGATAGTTTATGTGCAAATGTATTGTAGAGCCTTGCACAGATGTATTATTAAATAATGCTGTTCTAAGAATGGAATAATTTAGACATGAATAATGTAATTGATGTTTTAGGTATTTGAAATATCTAAATTAATAAAGCACAAATACTAAGTTATATGAATTCTGCACTTACATAAACTTTAGCAGTAGATAATATACTGGTAAAAAGGACAGATTTAAAACTTTATGAGGCATGCTTTAAAAGTATGCAGATCTTGACATTTTGATAACTCATCTGTCAGTGCATAGCCTTGCATTTATTAATTCCTATTTATTTTATGTTTATTTCAAGAAGTGGTTTTATGTACCAACTTAAACTTTTTCTTTTTTCCTTTGTATGTATGTCATTAAATTACAGATTTAAAAAGTCAACATTAGGTTATAGTGACACCGTAAGTTTTGCTATGGAAGTGAGTCCTTGGAGTTCTCTTCAGAAGCAAGCAGCATGGGGACGGTAAATACTCTGTTATTAATATCTGATTGTTAAAATTATATTAAGTATTTTAATCTAGCAAGATATAAAAATAAAAATATGATAAAGTTGGGGAATAAACATAACCTTTAGAATTAGACAGACTTGGGTTCAAATCTCAACTTGACCGTTTTTCAGTTTTCTGACCTTGATCAAAATATTTATCATTTTGGTTTGGTTTACTCACTATGAAATGAGTTTATAGTAATACCCATCTCACAGGATCATTTTAGCAGATGAAATAAAATGATATTTATAAAGCATGATCTGGTCAAATAATGACATAATCATGTTCATTAATTTTTTTAAATAAAAAAGCCAGAAAAATGTTTCAGTCCCATTATTTCAAATAAAGTTGTAGTATTTAGTTATATGCCCATCTGAGGTCTGGATATATTTTAGCATAACCTTATTTTATTGTCTTTTTATTTAAATGTAACTTTATTACTGGTGGCTTTGGCTAATCAAAGTCAAATGAATACAGGACTAGTGAAATAAGGAAGCATAAACAATCGGCAAAGTGCTGCCTGTTGTAGTACAAATGACATGTGAGGTGGGAATTAAACGAAGAACAGTATTAGAGTAGCTAATGGTTAAGTATGGCCTTTCTGGAGATTTTTAGGAAGTTGAATTTGGTATGAGGTTCTCAGAGTTCCTGGAGTAGGAGCATATATGCTATAATAAAATGTTTAAAACTCTTAAAGAGAAATAAAATATACTGACATTTCAGTAGCTCTTATGGGTACTTATTTGTGGATGTCTTTTTTCAGGAGTGTGGTTGACTTTTTTCTGGTGATAACACAGCTGGGATTCTGTAGTGTTTATATTGTCTTCTTAGCTGAAAATGTGAAACAAGTGAGTATTTTTCTCCAGTTAGTGAAATCATTTTTTTCTAAAGCCCTAGATATGGCTTCCTGTTTCTTCTGTGGAAGCCATGGTCGAATTTGAAAATGTGTCTCTTTCATAAGTGATCTTCCTTTATAGATTTTCCTTTAGATTTTTTCTTGCAAGTTGGATTTCTGCTGTAATTGTTTATTATTATTTTGCCATAATACTGATAATGCTTGTTTTTTTAGATCAGAATATGACATTATTTACTGATTCTTAGCTACTTGAAACTTAGATTTCAAAAACATATTCATAGATGCTGTGGAAGCATATTCTTTACATTGAAGTTCTATAAAGAACTATATGAGGCTTTAGCCAGTAGCCTAAAAAAATCAAGTAAAAATAATGAGCATTCATTATTAAAATCCAGTAATTATCGCCATTGTGTAAAAAGATACTGTGTCCATAAATGAACAGTTTTCTGTAGTTCTTTCAGAAACTTTCTCGCATTATGAAGGTTTGCTTTAGGAGGAAGTGGTTTGCAGTCTTGGAAGAGATTGACAATATATTTGGACAAATATGGAAAGCACTGAAATAAAAACTCCATCAAAACAATACTATAAAATACTTTTCTTTATGACTGGTATCATTATTCCTAAATTATCCCTTACTCTTCTTTAATCATTATTTTAATACTTAATCATTATTTTAATTATTAAAATAAATATTAAAATAATTTAAACATAATTATTAAATATTTATTAATTATCCACAGGCACATGGTACAGTAAACATTTTACATAGTAATATATAGGATTGTCTTGTAGATATTTTTATACAAAATGATGAAGTGAGTATGTTTTCTAAAAAACCTATATTTGTGTAGATTCCTGTGTACTTGTGTGTATTTGTCTCTCTTTTCTAAGTATAGACTATGTTTCATTTCACTGAGAATTGGCAAACTGTTTCTATAGAGGGTCAGATAAAAAGTATTTTCTGCTTTGCAGGCCATATGGTCTCTGTTGTAACCACTCAATTCAGCCATAGGCAACAATATGTAAACAAATAGATATGACTATATTTCGGTAAAATTTTATTTGCAAAAATAGGTGTTCTGCAGACCATAGTGTTCTAACCTCTGATTTAGATTATCCCTGTATGCTGTATTTCAGCCACTCACTTAAATTTTTAATGTCAGAAGAAGTCATTGAGTCAAACCCTCGTTTATAAAAGAGCTCATAATTAGTAATTTGACCTTGGATTTTTGGTCAGTGTTCTTTCCAGTGTACCATGTCTCAGCATCTAGAAAAGTGTTTTTTGTATCTGGGACTTTAAATGTCTGGAAGCTTAAATGTCACCTGTTCTGGGAAACCTTTCTCAACTTTTCCTTCCATGTCTTTCTTTTCTTTATCGACAGAATTTATTGGTTTTTCTCCTGGCTTCTGTATCACTTTTAAAAATAGCCTTGATTATGCTGTAGTAAAGTTAATTTACAAGTTATTTTTTACTGCTAGATGGCAAGCCCCGTGAAGGAAGGGACTCTCATATCCCTTGTGTTCACCTCTGTAAACTAGCATCTAAGAGTGCCTGGCTTATTGGTACCCAGTATGGTTATTGGCCTGAAGGAAAAGGAACTCACTGGACTGGGAAGGATTATATCTTGTTCATGTCTTTATTTCTCAGACCTAGTACTGTACCTGGTTGGTTGTGCAAGTGTCATTAAAACTTTGTGGACTGAAAGGGTTTAATCCTTTTGTTTGATTTCTGCATTGATGGTCTGTGCCACTTTCCTTGTTCTCATCCTGTGCAAACACCCTTTTCCCCATTTTTTCTGTCAGCTCTTCTCTTTCAGCTCCTACATGACTCTTTAAACTTGGTTTCTCACTCTTACAGATATTTCTTTGTGTCTATAAGATGAATGGCGTCCTTAGGGTTTTCAAGGTAAATGATTATATTATCAGCAAACAGAGACAGTTTGACTTCCTCTTTTCCAATTTTGATGCCCTTTCTTTCTTTCTCTTGTCTGATTGCTCTGGCTAGGACTTCCAGTACTGTATTGAAGAGGAGTGGTGAGAATGGGCATCCTTGTCTTGTTCCAGTTCTCAGGGGGAATCTTTAAGCTTTTCCCCATTCAGTATTATGTTGGCTGTGGGTTTGTGATAGATGGCTTTTATTATATTAAGTTATGGAGTTCCCTGACTAATAAAAGAATTCAGCAACCTTTCTGGATACAAGATTAATGTACATAAATCAGTAGCTCTTCTGTACACCAACAGTGACCAAGTAGAAAATCAAATCAAGACCTCAACCCCTTTTACAAAACCTGCAAAAAAATTAAAATACTTAGTAATATTCCTAACTAAAGAGTCAAAAGACCTCTACAAGGACAACTACAAAACACTGCTGAAAGAAATCACAGATAACAAAAACAAACGAAAACACATCCCATACACATGGATGGGTAGAATCAATATTGTGAACATGACCATACTGCCAAAAGCAATCTACAGATTCAGCATAATCCCCATCAAAATACCACCATCATTCTTCACAGAGTTAGAAAAAACAATTTTAAAATTCTTATGGAACTAAAAAAGAGCCTGCATAGCCGAAGCAAGACTAAGCAAAAAGAACAAACCTGGAGGCTTCACACTACCTGATTTCAAACTACACTATAAGGCCATAGTCACCAAAACAGTGTGGTACTGGTATAAAAACAGGCACATGGACTAGTGGAACAGAATAGAGAACCCAGAAGTGAACCCAAATACTTACAGCCAACTGATCTACAGAGCAAACAAAAACACAAAGTAGGGAAAGGACACACTTTTCAACAGCTGGTGCTGGGAAGATTGGCTAGCCACATGCAGGAGAATGAAATTGGATCCTCATCTTTTACCTTATACAAAAGCAAAGCTCAAGATGGATTAAGGAATTAAACCTAAGATCTGAAACTATAAAACTTCTGGAAGATAACATTGGAAAATCCCTTCTAGACGTTGGCTGAGGCAGGGATTTCATGGCAATAACCCCCAAAGCAAATGCAATAAAAACAAAGATAAATAGATGGAACCTAATTAAACTAGAGAATTTTGCATGGCAAAAAGAAGTCAGCAGAGTAAACAGACAACCCACAGAGTGGGAGAAAATCTTCACAATCTGTACCTCTGACAAAGGGCTAATATCCAAAATCTACAATGAACTCAAATCAGGAAGGAAAAAACAAACAGCCCCATCAAAAACTGGGCTAAAGACGTGAATAGACAGTTCTTAAGAGAAGATATACAAATGGCCAGCAAACGTGAAAAAATGTTCAACATCATGAATGATCAGGGAAATGCAAATGAAAACCACAATGTGACACCACCTTGCTCCTCCAAGAATGGCCATAATCAAAAAACAGTAGGCGTGGATGCAGCGATCAGGGAACACTTCTTCAGTGCTGGTGGGAATGTAAACTAGTACAGCCACTATGGAAGACAGTGTAGAGATTCCTTAAATTACTAAAAGTAATACCACCATCATTCTTCACAGAGTTAGAAAAAACAATTTTAAAATTCTTATGGAATTAAAAAAGAAGAACTACCATTTGATCCAGCAATCCCACTACTGGGTATCTATCCAGATGTAAAGAAGTCATTATTCGAAAAAGATATTTGTAGACACCTGTTTATAGCAGCACTGTATATATATACACACACACACATATATATACACACACACACACACACACACACACACACACGCTCATGGTTGAATAGTACTCCATCATATATATGTATGGAGTACATATACATGTATATATATATATATATATATATATATATATAGAGTACTACTCAGCCATAAAAGTGAATGAATTAACAGCATTTGCAATGACCTGGATGAGATTGGAGACTATTATTCTAAGTGAAGTAACTCAGGAATGGAAAACCAAACATTGTATGTTCTCACTGATATGTGGGAGCTATGAGGACACAAAGGCATAAGAATGATACCATGGACTTTGGGGACTTATGGGGAGGAGTGGGAGGGGGTGAGGGGTATGGTGCAGTGTCTACGGCTCAGGTGATGGGTGCACTAGGATCTCACAAATCACCACTAATGAACTTACTTGTATAACTAAATGCCACCTGTACCCCAATGACTTAGGGAAAAATAAGATAATAAAAAAAAATTTTTAATGGGAATGGCGTCCAGAGATTAGTGTTGTAACTGCTGACAGTTTTAGCCAGGAAGGTACTCCTAGATGCTGTCTGCATCTGAGAGTCCCAATGAATTCTGTAGTTTTTCTTTCTACCCTCATTTTATTATTTTTTCAAAATATCCTATTTTTAAACTATTTATTCTTTTACTAGATATTTGCAAATAAGTTCTTATACACCTATTTCTGGCAGGAAAAAATCTGTAATGTAAACCATCAGACACAGGTGTTCCCTCATACATATTGTGACTATAGAATAGAGTGAAAGATCTTAACGAGAGCAAGTAGCGTGAGAGATGTAGACATAGAAAACAGTAACAGTCATTAGAGCTAATTAGAGTCCTGCTTATAGTCTTGTTTATCAAATAAATCATCAGTTCTTCCATTCGCGTTACTTGTTATAGATGATGTTGTTTTGATTTTACAAATATTTATTTCTCCAAATTGCATATTCCTAGGACTCCTAAATCCATTAAGAGGCTTTTTATTAATGAGAGTGACAAGATATATCTTACCAGTCATTTATATATAATATGAGGGAAATTATGCCTTTCTGGAGTTGTGTAACATCGTAGTACTGTATCTTTTCTAATACCTATCTTCTAATGGAGTTATCAATAAGCTCTATTTGAATTTAAGAATAATGTCAATTTCATATTAATAAACTATGATATACATTATTTAATCTTTATAACTACTCTGTAAGTACTTTGCTTATTTTATGAATGAGAAAGCAGTCTCACAAAACTTGAATAATGTGCCCGAAGTCGTATGGAATTAGATTGAAACCTAGGTCTCTGTCACATCCAATATGTTAATTGTTCATCACCCCATGGGACGTTGTCTTGTCTGATTTTAGTTGTGAGTGTGTTTATATGACATAAAGTGTAGATGAGGTGGATAAAATAAATGTTTATAAGCTTAGAATCTGTGACTTTCTTTTATGAAAAATTATCAGTTGCTTCTCAAGTTGAATGGAAAAGTTAAACTTTGCACATGTCCTGTGAAGATCAGGTAGAAAAAGTGACTCTCTGGAAGTAAGGAGAGTGCCTGCTACAGATAGAAAAGTAAAAGTCCTTTGAGTCATAAAGAGTAACATGGAAAAAAAGGCAGTCAGGTTTGAGAAAGTAGTTGAGATGGTCACTGAAGCTGCATGAGATCAGAGATTTTCATTTTCTACAGAGGTGTTCTTTTACATTTGATTGGCATTATACAATAGCAGACACAGTAGTTGATTAAACCTTACCAATTGCTACTTACTGTTATAGTTAGAAACCATAGGATTGTTACCCTCCCCTTAATCTACATGGAATTGAAATGTATTTTGTTAACCAAAAGAATTAAGGGTTTAGTTGCCACACAAATGTAGAACCTGCTATGTAACTGCCACATGACTATTCTTGGTCCCATTAAGACTATGCACAATCAGAAGGGGAAAAAGAACACTAGTGCTTCTGATGAATCTAAGTCCATGGTGGTTATAGTTGCTTCTCTCTGTTCTTACTCTAAGATACTCTAGAAAATGTCAGATAGATAAAATAGTAGTACGTGGGCATGGAGAATGGGTAATGAATACACTATTACATTTTAAAAATGTAGCAATCCCCAAAACCATTGATTGTAGAGTCAGAAGATAGGAGTTCAAATCTTTGCTTTCTCAGTTTTAACTCACACATGAGGCAAAACCCCCTCATCCCTGGTCTAGCATCAGTTTCCTTATTTGTAAAATGGGAATAGTAACAAAATATCTCCTTGTTTCTCATAAACTTATTGTGAGGCTCAGCTGATAAAAGGCTTGTGAAAGCCTTTGTAAAATGTAAAACATTATACAAATGTAGGGAACTGTAACTTCAATTCTGCATTTGGCTTTACTGAAGAACGTAATCTGCAATTGGAATTTTAACTATTAAATTATGAAATCATTGAAAAATTAGTAAGTGGTATATTTTAGTAAATTTGAGCTCAAATGGAAACAACTGAATTTAGTAATTATATTTTATAATGTTTATTTCAGTGTTTTACATTTTGGTAAACATGTGAGATCATAGGAAGTCCTATTAGATAGCCAATCTCTGTCTCTAGAGGGCACCAAAGGACTCAAATGTTTACCTGAATCTTGCTCTAGGTATGTATCTACATTTTTATTTTATTTTATTTTTAATCCTGAGAATTTTTATAACCACTTTTCTGCCAAAAGTGCTAAAATACTATAAGATATTTGTGATAGAATTAATTTTAAATTCCCAAGCACCTAATAATAATTAAAACAGCCCTTTAAAATATTGGTTATATGACTGGTTTTCTCTTGCCAGCTATCTTTGTTAGAGCTTTACTTTGATCATTATCTAATCTAATTATTGGAGGTACTGCTTTCATAACAAGTATTTGGCTCTAAATAATTCAGCTACTAGAACATTAAGTCAACAATCAAATATGTTTGTAAAACCAAGGAATGTAATTCACCAATTTTGCTTTTATTTCAAATGATAGAAAATAAAATGTAAAGTTTTGATGGTCACTTACAAGGTAGTCATGAGCTGTGCATTTCTTAAATGGTGCGTGGTATAACTTGAGAGTATGTTAGTCCAGTGTCAGTTATAAATTCCCTTTATAGGGCAAAAATCTAATAGATACATTATCTACAATCTAAGATGATATGTACATTTATAGTGACATTAAACATAGCTTATGGTAGATTATACATGTAAAATTAAAGTAGAAGGAACACTTAAATTATTAATCATATCAAATTTATTTTAATCTTCTGATTTATTGGCTTCTTAATTACTACATTTAGAGATAGAGATGTAAGAGTGGAAACCAGGTGGCTGCTTGGGCAGAGCCCTCCTCTCTGGGTTGCAGTATTTTGGTCAGGCTAATTCTGGAGTAACAAGCCTGGGTTTGAATCCTAGAACCAACATTTACTGGCTTGATATTATGCAAGGTTTAAAAAAAAATCTCTTGAAGCCTCAGGTTCCTCAACTATAAATTGGAATTAATATTACCACCTACTTTAGAGAATCATTTTGAGTATTAAGTGAGATAGATGTTGTATGTAAAGCATATAGTTCAGTACCAGATACACATAAAGTACTCAAAAAACACTAGCTATTATTATTACAAGAATTTTTAGAATGTATTGTCCAGAGACTCAACTATATTGGTGTGTTCAAAGGAGGGTACGCTATGTTTGGGGGTAAATAAGTTTTCACTGGTATTTAAATTATAGCATGATCTGCCTCTGCTATAAAATTTTAAGACTGTTTCTAAAGTCCTCTATAATTTCATTTCTATTTTACTAAGTAGCATTATGTGATTAAATTGGATCAGAGATAGTTTGTAATATATGGAGCCTGTAAATCATATTTTTAAATCATATTTGTTTTGAAATCTGAAAATTGGGTTATAGGAGTGGCTGAATAAGCTTTAATATAAAGTTGATTTATTTTGTAGAAGTGTTTTGCTACAGCAAAAATTTATGTACTATCTACCATATGGCCACGCATGAATGTAGTGGAAATATTTATTGATAGTGATGATAATTTATAAATAATTGCTTTATAAAAGTTTTAAAGTTAGGCGATAATTTTAAAATTTTGCTTAGACTACATTTCTAAGAGATAATTAGAGCTTGTTTCCTATCTGAAAAATATAAGCTAGAGAATACTCAGTGGCCATCCTAGACATGTATTGTCCCAAATTTGATGATCTCAAAAATAGATACTTGAGTCTTTGGAGGTATCATGAGCATGATAGTCAGAAAGCTTCAGTATACATTAGTGAATTTATCATTACAATTTTCTAATGAACTTTATTTTTATAATATGATAAAATTATCTTTCAAGATTATCTTCAGTTATCTTTATATTTGATACATATGTTTCTAGAAAACCAGAGTATCTTTAAAAAATGTAAATTTAAATATTTTAAAGTGTATCATAGAATTGTATTTTAAAGTGTACAGATTGTAATTTTCTTTGTACATGTGTTTTATGATTATAAGTTGATGGAAGATTTCCCCCTTCTTTATTCTCCTGGTAATCCTGTATAGGTTCATGAAGGATTCCTGGAGAGTAAAGTGTTTATTTCGAATAATACCAATTCATCAAATCCATGTGAGAGAAGAAGTGTTGACCTAAGGATATATATGCTTTGCTTTCTTCCATTTATAATTCTTTTGGTCTTCATTCGTGAACTAAAGAATCTGTTTGTACTGTCATTCCTTGCCAACATTTCCATGGCCGTCAGTCTTGTGATAATTTACCAATATGTTGTCAGGGTAAGTATAAAATGTTTTTAATCAAGCTCTTACCTTTTCTATATAAGTAAAGTTTTTGTTTACTTTGGAAGTAAAAGTAATGAAGTGTAAAGACCCCGACTTTATATGTGACACACAGTGTATAATCAGTAAATGTTGGTTTCTTTTACGGGGATACTGTTGAGTTAGGAAAGTATATGACACAGAGATTAAACCAACAGGGTTTGTGGTCAGATCTTGAATCTTGGTAAATATGCTTCTGGGCTTTGGACAGTGCTTCAGAAGATAATAATACCTACCCTATTAGAGTTATTATGAGATTTAGGATTATGTCCTTAGTACAGTGCCAAATGTGAAACCAGGTATTCATTAAATGTGTTATTTATTCCTTTAAAATTTGAACCAACCACAAGAGATGCATATATATATATGTAAATCTACAATTTCCTTTCACTTCTGAATTTTTATTTGCTGCTACTGCTTCAATCCACTGCCACTACACTAGTCTGTAATCCCTTTATCTGAAGTATGTGCAATAACCTCAACTGATTTCATTGTCCATAGTCTGGGGATTCTTAATCCAGTTTCCTTAAAATAATCTATTGATAGGATTCAGGGATTCTTCAAATCCCTTAAAATAGTTCGCAAGATTTAGTATGTCTGTATGTATATATGTGTTTTGCTATTGAGCAGTTATATAGCTTTCATCTTGCAAAGGTGCCAAAGACCCAAGAAGGGTTCCAGTCACCTCTCATCTAATTCATTTTTTATGTTATTTCCAAGGTAATTGTTGTAAAATCTGACTGAAAATAGAGTGGAGAATGAATTTTTGTTGGGCATCAGCAGCAGTGGTTGTTAACTTGGCTATATGGCTCTCAGCTTAGGCCTTGAGTGTACTTACGTATTTCCTGTTGTGGCAGGAGCTAGACCTAGTGTGCAGAGCCTGGGACTTGCAGGTGGAAGCAGGTAATCAGGAGCATTTTGCTCAAATGGAATGTGTGGGCATGAGGGAAACAATTGCTTTTGGCAGTGAAGTCTTAACAGCTTGGCTATATTTAACATGGGATTCTTAAAGTGTTTATTGAAAGAATTATTCAGTTTTATAACCAAGCTTTGCTGTTGTGAAGCTCAAAATTTTATGATTTTTCTTTCATTTTAAATTATTTAGAATAAGTGAAGATGTAACCTGTCTTCCTTTTTTCTTCCTTTCTTTAGAACATGCCAGATCCCCACAACCTTCCAGTAGTGGCTGGTTGGAAGAAATACCCACTCTTTTTTGGTACTGCTGTATTTGCTTTTGAAGGCATAGGAGTGGTAAGAATTTAGTCTTTATTATTATTTTTTAAAATCTTAATTCAACACAATGATTTATATAGTCTAGCTATATTTAAAAATGCATATTTTTCTTTTTTATTTCAATTTTCTTTATTCCTAGTAGACAATGTACAGTTTGGTGTGTTAGATTAGAATTATAGTTTAGTCCTTTCACTAATGAAGAGCTTAATGTTAGACATACCACTCAGGCTCTCTAATTCTCTTTTTCTTTATCTATAAAATGAAGAAATTAGCCAGATTATTTTTAACATTTTATTATGGAAAATTTCAAACCTATACAAAATTTAGAGAGTAGTGTAATGAACTCCTATGTAAATATCACCTGGCTTCCAAAATTATTAACTCAAGGCGAGTTTAAAAAAATTTGTATCCCACATACTCAGGCACATCTGAAGCATATTTTATAGGTTAGATTATTTGAAGGGAATTGAAATAGTTGCAAAATCACTGTTATATAAGAAGAGTTGGATATAAATTCTCCCTATAGTTTTATGAATATAATGTTTGTTTTGAGAAACAATGTTATCATAAAGCTAATAGCAAGATAAACTCCAAAGATTCTGAGGATTCTCAGATGTTAAATATTTTCATTCAGGTAGCTCCTGGTTTATTTAAAGCCTAACATTTGTATACTTGGAGAAAACAGAGTCTTGCTGTCTGCTTTGCTCCATAGTTTATGTTTCATAGTCTGATGGTCTGATATGGAAGCAAAACCCTTGTAAACATCTATTTATATTAACCCCAGACAAAATAGATCTAAAATAAAATTTTATACCATTTTACGTGGGTTTCTGCTGTCTCTGAATTTTTTTTTAGATAACTCTCATAAATTCTTACAAATTTTCACAGTTGCTTTTACTGCTGTTACAAACATAGCTGCAGATTTTCATGTTTGTCTTTTACTGGTGAGTGCTAGTTAACTATTGGATATTTCCTCTGAATCTCAAATTCAACAATTTCAAAGTCTGACACATATTTTCTCGTCCAAAACCAGCTTTACTTTCTCATTTTCCTTTTTAGTTTTAACTTCAGTTGCTTAAGCTTGAAACACTGGAATGATTTCTTTTACTTTGTCCTTGGTTCCCTATTTCAATTGATAATTAATGTTGATTCTTCTTTTATATTTCTCAAATCCATTCCATAAACGAGACTACAGGTATTGATCAACTTACCATCTATGCAACTTACGACCATTCAACTTTACAACCACAATCGCTAGCCACGACTACTCCGCGTCTGGCAGCGCAAACGTTGCCCAGCGGGGTGTACGACAGTGCGGACCAGCTTCTGGCAGCACTACCGTCTCCGCGTGCACCATTTCAACTGTACATATAGACTACTCAACTTATGATAAATCGTGTTATGACCGGTCTGCCAGTCCCAATCGTGGTCATAAGTCGAGCACTAGCTGTATACATAAAATACCTATAATGCTGCGTGACACAGAGAAGGCCTCAGGAAATGTTCATTTCTTTCTCCTTCTGCCATTCTAGCTGCACTGACACCATTCTTGGCCAGTGCCCATATTTCCTGTCTGGGTTATCTCCAGAGCATCCAAACTGTTCTCTGCCCTCTTGCTGCTGTTAGCAATTAATGTTTCCATATGGAACTGACTGACTTATGTAAAAAGTGGAGAAATATTAGATTTATCATCTCATAGAGTTATTATGAGGACTGCATAAGATGCTGCATGCAAAGCTTTTAGAATTATACCTTAAATATCATGAACACTCCAGTAAATACTTGCTATTATTATTATTACTGTGGTCTTTCACTATATGGCCAAGTTATATGGCTAAAATCTCAGAAGATTTGCCTTAAAAACTTGATTTTTCAATCACCCTTTTCTTATTTTCTTTAAAGGTTCTTTTTTCAATAAAATAAAAATTATTTATTAGTTCTACTGAAATTGACAGACAGTAGATACAGCTGGCTGGATATAAAACCAGCTACAGATACATGTGTATACATGGGTTGGTATACATGCATATACTTCCTAGTTCTGTCTCCTGAGAGGGGCTACAAGCAGTGATACCCCGGTAGCAATAAACACACACTCAAATCTTTATTTTTAAATACCAGATCTTCATGTCTAAATACCATTCTACAAGAGAACCAAAGTTCTTTGGAGAAATAGCTGATTTTAGGGCTGAAGCAAGGAAATTCAAGATGAGGCTAAAGCTTATCTTGTAACGTCAGAAGGCAAGAATGTGTTCAAGAAATAAAAGAATAGAGGCATGTCAAAGGGGCAAAGAAGCCAACCTGATGGAATTTACAATGGCCAAAGCTGGAATAATAACATAAGTAACACAACAAATAACAGAACATTGGATTATAACTCAATATATAAAACTAATATACCTAAACTCATGCTAAGGTACATACATACATACATACATACATACGTGAGAATCCTAGATAATCCTCCTCCCTCCAGGCATTATAACTAATCCCCTCCTACACCCCAGAGATGGGGCTGGGTTTAGGGACTTGCTCTCAATAAACAGAGTATGGTGAGAGGGAAGAAAAGTAATTGTATAGCAGAGAAACTTGGCAAATACTACCTTAACCAACTGATGAAAATTAACTTCACCAGTGATAAATCATGTTAATAGCCTGTGATGAGACAGGCACTTCACCTCTTCACCTTCTTCTCTAAAACTATAATACCAGTCCAGTCTTGAGAGAAACCTCAGACAAACCTAAATAGAGAGGCATCATGTAAAATATCAGACCAGTACTCCTTAAAACTGGCAGGATAATGCATAACAAACAAAGATTGAGAAACTATCACAGACAGGAGGCGTGGTGACAAAATGCACTGTGGGTATCCTGGATGGAGCTCTGGGGCAGAAAAAGGATATTAACTGAAAAACTAATAAAATCCTAAGGAAATTTGCAGTTTACTTTATAGTGATGTACCAATGTTGGTTTTTAGTTGTCACAAATGTACTATGGTAATGTAAAAAGTTAACAGTAGGAGAAACTGGGTCGGGGTATATAGGAGATCTCTGTGTTATCTTTGTAACTTTTCTGTAAATCTAAAATTACTACAAAATATAAAGGTTATTTAAAAAACGGACAGATTTGCCTGCCAAGAGCTGAGTTTAAATGTTTTTAAGAGTTTAAAAATAGGTAGCTATATATATATGTATATATACATACATATATATGTGTATATGTATATACACGCATATATCTAAAAACATAATTGTCGAAGTATATTTTCATTGCTATATATGTATGTATACACATATACATATATATAGCAATGAAAATATACTTCAAGAATTATATGTGTTTTAAAGTAAAAAAATTTGCATATAGGCTATAAACAACCAATTTGTATGTATAAGAGACACTGTTATTTTTAAATACTTGTATTCCCTTTAAAAAAATTATATTCTTTTCTTAGGTCCTTCCACTGGAAAACCAAATGAAAGAATCAAAACGTTTCCCTCAAGCATTGAATATTGGCATGGGGATTGTTACAACTTTGTATGTAACATTAGCTACTTTAGGATATATGTGTTTCCGTGATGAAATCAAGGGAAGCATAACTTTAAATCTTCCCCAAGATGTATGGTAGGTGTATCTGAATTTCTCAATACTAATTTATATATTTTATAACCATTGTTTGATGATAAAGGCGTGTTCTTAGATTTATGGTTTAGACTTTTACAATTTTTACTGTGATTTGCTGTAATCCCAGCACTTTGGGAGGCAGAGGCCGGTGGATCACCTGATGTCAGGAGTTAAAGACCAGCGTCTACTAAAAATATTAGTCAGGTGTGGTGGCAGGCACCTGTAATCCCAGCTACCCTGGAGGCCGAGGCAGGAGAATCGCTTGAACCCAGGTGGTGGAAGTTGCAGTGAGCCAAGATAATGCCATTGTACCCCAGCCTGAGTGACAAGAGCAAAACTCCGTCTCAAAAGAAAAAAAAAAGAAAATTACTGTGACTAATTTGTGCCATCTGGAATTTTTTCTTAATCTTTGGAGGAGATCAAATAGGAATTTAGGATTGTTTTGGGATTTTTTTAAAAAAGATTTAAAGCTGAAGGTTGTTCCAAATCCATGTGAAGTATAAGAGTAGAACAGGGATTATTTTAATATGGACACATTTTAATAAAAAAATTAATACCTGTTCTTATTGGCAAAAACCCAAACACCTAGGGTTCCTAATAAAATAATAGATTACATTATTTATGGTCCTTGCTGTTTTGGTCAGCTTCATAGTATATATTTTCCAAGTCCTTTCAGAACACAGTTGGGACACATTATAAATAATAAAACGGTGCATCATCTTAATGTTCTCTTTAATACTGGAACCATATCCTGCTAAATTAAACGTCATATATATATATGATTTTTCCTTTTTCCAGAGATTTGTCTTTGGAAAATTTTCAAAGACAGTGGCAGTGATTACCATGCAGACTTATTTTCTTATTTACAAAATGGAAGGTAACTCCTTAGTTTTCGTATATACAAAGAATAAATGTGGAATTGCTGATTGAATTATTGTCACACTACTACCTTAGCTACTTGGATACAAAAATCTGTGAAACCTTAAATGGCTTATTATATTAGTGAAAAGCAACAATAGCAGAAATTATCTCTTCTTACTGGCTTCCTGGTGAGAATTTGTCTGTCATTTAATAGTCATTTGAATCCTGGGCATTTATTGGAGTCAAAAATGTTGCTAGGTCAAATGTTTACAGGAAGTCATTTATGACAGAGCAGATGTACCTAGGATAGTTTTCAGATTGCACAAGGGGCACACATGTGGTGTGTTTATATTTTTTATTACAATTTTACTTTAGCTAACATAAATGTATTTCAAAATGGAAACATGTTGCAAATGTTATAAATATATTTCAAGGTGGAGTCATAATTATAAACAAAATATATGGTCACATAGCATTTATTTTATTAACTCTTTATAGTTAATTATATAATTTTGTTCCCTTCAAATGTGCTTTTTGGTTTCTTTTTGATAATATGAAACTAGCAGCTTAATGAACTAGAAGTTTAAACAGCTTAGAATAAGAGAATAAAGGCTAAAAATATGGTAGTATAGTTCATCTTTTCAAATACTATACAATGTTTAGAAAATAGAATGATATTTTTTCCTCATTTAGAATAATATTTAAAGCCTGGCATAGTGGCTTATGTCTGGAATCCCAATTCTTTGGGAGGAAAAAGTTGGGAGGATTGCTTGAGGCCAGAAGTTTGAGACTAGCCTGGACACGTAGCAAAACTCCAAATCTACACAAAATTTAAAAATTAGCCAAGTGTGGTGGCCCAAGCCTGTAGTCGCAGATATTTGGGAGGCTGAGGTGGGAGGATCACTTGAGCCCTGGAGGTTGAAGATACAGTGAGCTGTTATGGTACCACTAAACTCCAGCCTGGGAGACAGAGATTTTGTCTCAATAATATTAATAACAATAATAATACTTTGACTAAGTCTTAAAAATGATCATTTTAGAAATAAATTTGACAGTTAATGTCAAATATAAATGTACGTGGAAATAATGTCAGAATTCTTTCTTGTTCTTATTTACAAAACTGTGTAAGGAGTATTTTATGGGGGAAGGATCTGAAGTGGGGAGTGTCTACACATTCACATTGAAAGGTTCATATTCCCGGGCACATCAGAATGTGATGCAGAAATAATGGGAAAGGATGAGAGAATGCTTTTGGTATTCACAACTTAACCTTGGAGGGTGACACTGTCCCTGAAGTAGTTTCAATTAATCCTTCCCTTTTTCCATAGCCCTTTTCTACATCTCAGATTATTCCTAATTGCTGTGACTTTCCAATTAGGATGGAACTAGTAGAGACTCTCAATTTAAAAGGGACTGCTAGATAATAGTTTCTATTTGAGGAAGTCTAGCTAGACACCACTTTTCATTAGAGGAAAGCCTAGGAAAAGTATCCTAATTAACAACAAAAATCTGGAAAAAAACAGGAAAGCAAGTCAAGATAAATATTTTCCTTTAGAGAGCTTGTGTTGGTTAATGCCTTTGCTCTGTGGAGATATGCCTTATGCAGCCTGTGGTCTATTTCTGTGTGGACTCTGCAGTTGTGGGACAGTTAAAATAATATTCACAGCTGGGGGATACAAGAGAAGAGTTACTTATCCCTTTTTATAGTCATGGCATTCTCTAGAGTGAGAAGTTTGGACTAGAATAATTATGGGATAATATCTAATATTTCTTTCTTAATATACTATGTATGAGCCTCTCACTTCTTTCCTGTGCTTCACACGAGAGGCTGCAGAAGTTAGAGATTGTGCAGCATACTCTGTTGGTGGACTATGAAAGCCAATGATGTTATAAGAATGCCCTAGACATTTTGGGAGGCTGAGGTGGGTGGATCACGAGGTCAAGAGATTGACACCATCCTGGCCAACATGGTGAAACCCCATCTCTACTGAAAAATACACACACACACACAAAAAAAAGCCAGGCATGGTGGTGCGTGCTTGTAGTCCCAGCTACTTGGAAGGCTGTGGTAGGAGAATCACTTTAACCCAGGTGGCGGAGGTTGCAGTGAGCTGAGATCACGTCACTGCACTCCAGCCTGGTGACGGAGTGAGAATCTGTCTGAAAAAAAGAAAAAAGAGTGTCCAAGAGAACTAATGCCTACTAGCTATGAATAGCGATAAAGGGCTTTTGGTACAAACTGACAAAGTCTCAGAGTTTATTAGGGTTATTTCTGCAAGGTAAGATTGAATTAAAAAAAGGCCATAGGATAAAGCAAGCATGGCTTAGAGAAGCTCCAATTTGTTATTATTACCCTTAATCTTTCTGAACTGTTGGCCTCAAGATTCTCAACCTGAGCATCATAAAAAGTCCAAGAGGGAAAGTGACTTACCAGGTTATTTCCAAGGGTAGCTTCTGTATTCATTCTTGAGAAGCAGAAACAGTCCCAAGTTTGGTTTAAAAAATTTTAAGATACTCATAGCTGATGGTTGATTTATTAGCCAATGTGGGGAAAAGAATAAAAGCATTATAAATTTTGATATTCTATGTTTTCAAAACTAATATTTTCACTGGAACATTAAGCTGTGTTCTCCCTATAATCTGATTTAATATATTGGCTGAAAAATAATTATTAAAAGTACATTTCTGTTTTTCACTAAGGTATTAAATTCTTTACTATCATTATAATAGATTTTGTTTCTAAGCATAACATAAATCCATTTATTCTTTGAGGTGCTATTAATATTTGTCATCTTGAATGGTTGTAGTTTCTAAGAATTACCTATCCATAACTATTTTGATAAATAATAAGTATCAATCACCTATTAATACTAAGTGCATTGAAGGGATATACAGAGAAGAATAAAACATAGTCTCTAACTCTCAGGAGCATTGTGAGCAAGGAGTTTTAAAAAACCCTTTAATGTATACTAAATGTTGTTTATAGTTGTTTGATGTTTTTGTATACCCTCAAAACAAATTCCTGTGACTTTAAGAAAGTTTGTTATTCTTTAGAAAGAAGATTTACTGGGTAGATTTTTCCTTTCAACTTCATTTCTAAAATGTAGTACAAAAGAAGCCTTACAATAGATGCTACCTAAAACCAAAATGAAGAAAAAGTTGTGATAATATCCATACAAAAGTTAAGTAGGAAAAAATAGTTTAGAGTGATTGAAAATATAGATGCCAAACATAGAAATAAGTGGGTTCTTGAAACAGAAAAGGAGTAGGAGTGAATTCATACTAAACTATGGCACTTTTTAAAGATGCTCTTTTATTTCTCTATAGCTCTTCTTTGGTTAATTAGTAGATATACCAATTTCTAAAACATGCATACCATTTTATTTATCATTTTAACTCTGTGTCACGCCAAATAATAATGTTTGCATATAATTAATGCTATGATTCTTAGCCAATGTAACTTTATTTTATGTCAGTAAAAAAGTACTTACATGCAAAATGATGCATTTTTATTTTTAAAAATATTAAATCTATTATTACCCACATATTAAAAACATTTAAGTGAAAAGATAATTAAGAAAAAGCAATGTCCTTCTGTTAAACTGATAATAAACTAACAAGAATATTTGTTTAATTATCATAGTATAATTAAATATCATGGTTGCATATCATAGTATAGGAAACACGTGTCTTTCAATTATGTTGTATATATTCAGTAACTTGATCATTTATGTGTAGCCTTTAAGCCTCAAGCTGAGAAACATATCCTTAGCTAATTTTAAAAATTAAGTTTTAAATGTTGTTAGTTCTAAGGAGTTCCTTCTTTTCTAATTGTGCTATGTATTTTCAAAGCTATTTTTACTCAGCTTTCAAATTTCATCTTACTTTTGTATAGTAAATATATAATCGTGGGATACTGATTGAATCTCTTCTTGCCATAGTTTAGAAAACTGTTTATAATCCTTACTACTCTCACCACTCCTATTCAACATAGTATTGGAAGTCCTGGCCAGAGCAATCAGGCAAAAGAAAGAAACAAAGGGCATCCAAATAGGAAGAGACAAAGTCAAACTATCCCTGTTTGCAGATGACATGATCCTCTATCTAGAAAACCCCATAGTAAGCCCAAAAGCTTCTTAAGCTGATACGCAACTTCAGCAAAGTCTCAAGCTGCGAAATCAGTGTGCAAAAAACATCAACATTTCTATACACCAGTAACAGTCAAGCTGAGAGCCAAATCTTTCATGTGCCAATAGTGAATGATATTATGTTGCCACAATTCACAATTGCCATATAAAGAATAAAGTACCTAGGGATACAGCTAACCAGGAAGGTGAAAAGATCTCTAAAACAAGAAGTATAAAACACTGCTCAAAGAAATCAGAGATGACACAAACAAATGGAAAAACATTCCATGGTCATGGATAGGAAGAATCAATATCATAAAAATGGCCACAGTGCCCAAAGCAATTTATAGATTCAGTGCTATTCCTTTATTTATTTATTTATTTATTTATTTATTTTGAGATGGAGTCTTGCTTTGTCACCCAGGCGGGAGTACAGTGGTGCAGTCGTGGCTCACTGCAACCTCCGCCTACTGGGTTCAAGCACTTCTCCTGCCTCAGCCTCCCAAGCAGCTGGGACTACAGGCGCATGCTACCACGCCCAGCTAATTTTTTGTATTTTTAGTAGAGATGGGGTTTTACCATATTGACCAGGCTGGTCTCGAACTGCTGACCTTATGATCCACCCGCCCCCACCTCCCAAAGTGCTGGGATTACAGGCATGAGCCACCATGCCCAGCCATGCTATTCCTATTAAACTGCCATTGACATTCTTCACAGAACTAGAAAAAAACTATTTTAAAATTCATGTGGAACCAAAAATTAGACTGAATGGCCAAAGCAATCCTCAGCAAAAAGAACAAAGCTGGAGGCATCACACTATCCAACTTAAAACTATACTACAGGGCTGCAGTAACCAAAACAGTATGGTACTGGCATAAAAGCAGACACATAGACCAATGGAACAGAATAGAGAGCCCAGAAGTAAGGCTACCTGCAATTATCTGATCTTCAAAAAACTTGACAAAAGCAATGGGGAAAGGATTCCCTATTCAATAAATGGTGCTAGGATAACTGGCTAGCCATATGCAGAAGACTGAAACTGGACCCCTTCCTTACACTATAAACAAAAAATTAACTCAAGACGAAGTGAAAGCTTAAATGTAAAATGCCAGACCATAAAAACCCTGGAAGACAACCTAGCCAGTACCATTCTGGACATAGAAATGGGCAAAGATTTTATGATGAGGATACCAAAAGCAATTGCAACAAAAGCAGAAATTGACAAATGGGATCTAATTAAACTAAAGAGCTTCTGCACAGCAAAGAAAACTTATCAACAGAGAGTATGGAAGAAAATTTTTTCAAATTATGCATCCACCAAAGATCTCATATCCAGCATTTAAAGGAACTTCAAGAAATTTATAAGAAAAATATCTCATTAAAAAGTGGGCAAAGGCTTTGGGAGGCTAAGGCAGGCGGATCACAAGGTCAGGAGTTCGAGACCTGCCTGGCCAGCATGGTGAAACCCTATCTCTACTAAAAATACAAAAATTAGCCTGGCATGGTGGTGGGTGCCTGTAGTCCCAGCTACTCGGGGGGCAGAGGCAGGAGAGTCACTTGAACCCAGGAGGTGGAGGTTGCAATGAGCCAAGATTGTGCTTTTGCACTCCAGCCTGGTCAACAAAGTGAGACTCTGTCCCCAATAAATAAATAAATAAATAAATAAAATAAAGTGGGCAAAGGTTATGAACAGATACTTCTCAAAGTGTCATATGAAAGAAAAAGTCATATGAAAAAGCTCAACCTCATATGAAAGAAAAAGCTCAACAGTCATGTGAAAGAAAAAGCTCAACATCATTGATCATTAGAGAAATGCAAATCAAAACCACAACGAGATACCTTCTCACACCAGTCAGAATGGCTATTACTAAACAGTCAAAAACACACTATTGAGGTTATGGAGAAAAAGGAACAACACTTAGAAACTGTTGGTGGGATTCCTCAAAGACCTTAAAACAGAAATACCATTTGATCCAGCAGTCCCATTACTGAGTTTGTACCCAAAGAAATATAAATCATTCTATTATAAAGACACATACATGCCTGTGTTCATTGCAGCACTATTCACAATAGCAAAGACATGTAATCAACCTAAATGCCTATCAATGATAGACTGGATAAAGAATATGTGGTATGTATACATTATAGAAGACTATTCAGCCATAAAAAAGAATAAGATTATGTTCTTTGTAGGAACATGGTTGGAGCTGAAGGTCATTATACTTAGCAAACTAACACAGGAACAGAAAACCAAATACCACATACACTTACTTGTAAGTGGGAGCTAAATGATGAGAAGAGATGAACACATGGAGAGTAACAACACATACTGGGGCCTATTGAGGGTGAAGGGTGTAAGGAGGGAGCAGATCAGGAAAAATAACCAATGGGTACTAGGCTTAATACCTGGATGATGAACTAATCTGTACAACAAGCCCCCATGATACAAATTTACCTATATAACCTGCACATGTGTCCTTGAACTTAAATTTAAAAATCCTTACTACTTTAAGTCTTAAGACATCAAAAATAAACTGAAAGACCCATTAATGTTGAGGTTTTTATTTATCAAAAGAAGAATATAATCCTTTTAAAATGATTGCATTTTTTATAAGAAAGAAAACACTCTTCCCTGTGCATAGGAATTTTAGGTGGTTAAGTGGAACTTTGAGAATACTGTGGGAAGATGTTTCTGCTGATGGAGGACATATGTGTTAATCACTGCCCTGATGCTGCAGGACTCTGAATCCACAGTGTTCTCTCTGCTTTGTTACTTTAAAAATGCAAGGTGATTTGGGCTATTCTTTTGAATGTTGTGAAATATTAAAAATTTTTAAAAGTACAGCACTTTAATTTTATTATTCTGCTACCCAAAAGAGTGGATTCTGTAATGTTCCTTCCTCTAGGTCCTACAATTTTATGTTTTCTTTTCATGTCATTATCAACATTTAAAAAGTCTTCTTTTGCCAGGCATAAGAAAGTTACTGAAGTCTTTATGAAGACATACATGCAAAGTTTTAACAGGACGTTATACATAATGTAGAAATCTAAAGATATTTATCTTTAATATCTTTTTTATATTTTTATAAATATAAAATTAAATATTTTATATTTAATATTTTATATTTAATTTTATATTTTAAATTTTATATTTATTTATAATATATTTATATTTAATTTTATAAATTATAATTTATAAATTATAATATAAATTATATATACAATATAAATTATAATATAAAAAAATATAAATTATAAATTATAAATATAAAATTAAATATTTTATAAAAATAAATATAAATATTTTTATAAATATCTTTAGTGTGCTGTTTTGAAGCGCTATATATCAAAGAAATAAGTTAATTTGTACAAAAAATAACAACCTTACCCAGCAACTCTATTTCCCTTATTTAATGTAATTTTAACATATTGTATGTATAATTTAGAGAACTTTGCAAGTTGACACTGTTTAGATGCCTGCTTTTAGACTTAAGATAGATGACATTTCTGCAACTAATGACATATCTCTGAAGATTTTCAACCAAGAACTGTACTTTAGAGTTTAAAATGAGTTTTTCTTCTATGTAAAGATCAATGAGGTTATGACTCAGGATTAAAGACATATTATAGTCTCAATTTTTAAAAAGAAAGTTGAGAAAATATTAGCTCTTCAGGGGGCTGAGTCTAATCTTTAAAATATTGGCTTAATGAAATCTTTTTACCAATATATCCCGAACCCTGGCATGCATGTTGAAGCTTTCCAGTCTTGTCAAAATGAATTGTCCTTGTATCATCTAGAAATTTAGTTAGAGACCAGTTTGCCTTTTTATAAACAAGCATTTGTAGTAAGGTTCTAATTTGGTATTCTGGATTTCTAACTTACCTTAATATTAAAAATAAAGGAGAAAAGCTAAATTCACATTAAAAATGAGCAGAAGATCAAACACCGCATGTTCTCACTCATAGGCGGGTGTTGAACAATGAGAACACATGGACACAGGGAGGGGAGCACTACACACGGGTCAGTTGGGGGGAAATAGGGGAGGGAGGGTGGGGGGTGGGAAGCTGGGGAGAGATAGCAAGGGGAGAAATGCCGGATGTAGGTGATGGGGAGGAAGGCAGCAAATCACACTGCCATTTGTGTTCCTATGCAACAATTTTGCATGTTCTTCACATGTACCCCAAAACCTACAATGCAATAAAATAAATAAATGGAAAAAAAATGACTAAATTTTGAAAATTTTTTTCAACAGGTTATATCAATCAGTGAAAATTCTGTATTCCTTTGGCATTTTTGTGACATATTCAATTCAGTTCTATGTTCCAGCAGAGATCATTATCCCTGGGATCACATCCAAATTTCATACTAAATGGAAAAAAATCTGTGAATTTGGGATAAGATCCTTCTTGGTTAGTATTACTTGTAAGTATCATTATGTATTCCATAATAATTCTTTTATTGTTGAATTTCTCAAAATGAAAGCTACATAAGATGTATTTTTCAATATTTTTGAAACAATTTTATGCATCCAGCTGTGTTACTTTTCAGGTTAAAATTCTATTTTTCTACCGCATAAGAAAAACACAAATCTGATCCTATCACACTTAAAATAACTAATGAAGCTGTTTTGAAAATTACGTTACTGGTGATTAAAATAACGTGTACATGGGACCCCTTCCATTGTTGATACACATTTTATTTTGGTTCTAGTTTTCCTTAGGTTTTTAATTCCTGTTTTTGTATATTTTAACAGTTTACTTCTCCATAACTACCTACAAGAAAGTGTTTAATTTTACTTGTATTGGTTTTTTATACTTTTAGTGGCTTATTTTCTTACTATTTGGAATTCATAATGGAGACTCATGGAAAGGGAGGTTGAGTTTCGTATAGTGGAAAGAGTGTAAGTTTTGGAGTCACACAGATCTGGGGATTCAAACTCAAGCCTACCACTTGCTTGCTGTTGTGTTTAGGCAAGTTATATGACATTGTTGAGCTCCTCTTTCCTCAGCTATGAAATGAAAGTAAAACTTCCTTATGGCATTTTGGTGGGGTTAGAAATAATATTAACAAAGTATTAATAACTGGAAGTTATGATCATTATTGTCACTATTATTATAACTACAAATATACAGATGATTGCACCACCAAACTAAACTGGGATTACCTAAAATGATGCTAGGGACCAGATTACTAGTGTTCTGGGGAACAAGCAGCTTTGGAAATTCCTTGCATAAGATATTAATAACCATCTTGCATGATTTAGAATGATAGAGGTGGAAATTCAGGGCAACTCAGTAAATTGCATTGAGCAGCCTGGCAGGGAGCTTGTGCCTAGATTTAAAGAATTGGGCTTATACATTTTGTTTGAAAAGAGAAATGTAAAGCTGGAAAAGTAGATAAACTGTATTTTTCAAAGTAACTACTTAAATTAGTGAATTATATCACTAATAAGAGAAATCATATTAAGGAGTGAAGTCAATAAGCCCATATTCTGATAACTAACACAAAAAGTCAGTGGGAAAAATATTTTAAAACATTTTGAACTTTTAAAATATATCTTTTATTGGTATTTTGGTAATGACTAAATAAAAAGACTAATTTCAGTAAAAGTTTTTATCAATAGGTGTAAGACAATTCTATTCTGAAAGTATATCCTCTTTTAAAGTTGGTAATGGAAATTCAAGTAAAGGAGCTTGAGGACAACGTTAAAAGGGGTTCAGATTTTTTTAATAACTTCACCCACTTCTGCACATTGGCTGGCATTGTTATACTGAAGTTGTGAATCTGCTGAGGCACAGACCATACCACATCTGCTACTGTGGGTTTGTTCCCAGAAGTCAGGGGCTTAGTTCATAGCACAGAGAACTGCAGCCTTTTCTGGGCTGCTGCTTTCTTTTAGTTAAAAGTCATTGGCCGGGCACAGTGGCTCACACCTGTAATCCCAGCACTTTGGGAGGCCAAGGCGGATGGATCACGAGGTCAAGATATTGAGACCATCCTGGCCAACATGGTGAAACCTCGTCTCTACTAAAAATACAAAAAAAACTAGCTGGGCATGGTGGCGTGTGCCTGTAGTCCCAGCTACTCGGGAGGCTGAGGCAGGAGAATTGCTTGAACCTGGGAAGTGGAGGTTGCAGTGAGCCGAGGTCACGCCACTGCACTCCAGCCTGGTGCCTGGTGACAGAGTGAGACTCTGTCTCAAAAAAAAAAAAGTCATTAAAGCTACTCAACCATATATGCCTTGGACAAAGAGAACAAAAACTATGTAATATTTCTCTCTGCTATATTGGGACACATCACTGGACACTGAACTTCTTTTGTGTCTTTGGCACATAACCTTCCAAATTAAAGTAAAAGTCAGCTGATATTCATAGCAAAACTGCTTTTTAGTCTGTTTTCCAAAGCACTTGAAAAGATTTGGGGGCATACTCTTTGCTGATAAATGTGTGTAGACAGTTGATGAGACCTTGTTAAGTTTGTAGAGTAGGCTTTGTGGCACTAGCAATGAGAATGGAGGCTCAGCCTGATTTGCATTGAAAATTGAATGTCTTTCAGTGTTACATAATCCTTTCCAAGTACTGAATCCACGTTTGTTGTATTGGTCTATAAAGAAGTGGACTTATCAGCTTGGATTATGTTGGTTGTATCCAAGTATCCGTTTAGCATTTGAATCATGTTCTCAAAATATCTTCTTAGTGAACATCAAAAACTTTAGAAATGATTCAGTCTCCTCCTGCAGGTTCCCTTTAGGTACTTACCTGGTATATAGGCACAGGCACCTCACAAGTGAGGGAGGAGGTAGGGTACAAACCAGCTAAAGGTCACCATGGACATAAATATCTTTTATTTTAGAAACAAACCTATACTATGAGCCATTAAATTTTTAAATGTGTTGTAGTAAACACTGAGACCAATGTTTCAATTCTGTGTATGAATTGAATCAACAGAATATACTAAGTACTATTCTGTTATTCTCTAATTTGATTGTTCTACTGTTTGTAATTTTTAAACTGTCCTTATTTTTATAATATATAGTAGACTATGACTATATAAGTATCAAAATCTATAAATCTTTAGTAGTTTGTGTAGAAAACCCACTAAAATCCTTCATTTAAGTTAGTTGCATTTGCAGATTTAAAAAGTACCTTTGTGTATCCTGATATCATGTCTTAGAGTCAGTAGGTATGTGGATAGCACCAGTAACTATTTGTATAATTAAAATTGATGTGCTAAGTTATTTTCTACATTTTTTGTTTTTGGTGCTGTAATATCAAGTGCTTTGTTTTGTACTCTGATGTATCTACATTTACCCTTCAGATGCAAATAATGGACTTAAATAGGCTTTTATTTTAGTATCAGAGGGAACTTTATGCACTAAGGATACATTCTTTTTCTTGTTATTTATAGTTTTGGTAAATGCTAATAAGTCTGACTACTACTTAATAGATCTATTCATAATAGCTGTCTGTAAATGACATAGTATTTGTAATGAGTAAAACTATCCTTATCTTAAACTCTCCTTTGAGTTTTTAGTAATATATGTTGGTTTTGGCTAAAAGCATATATACTTGTCTCCTTTGTTTACTAATAACATTGGCAATGGCATATTTCAAGCGATTTTTACTTGCAAATATCTTTTGGTTATGTAATTTTTAAAATCTGACTTTAAACAGATTTTAGATGGGAATTATACTTCATGATTTCAAAGTATCTTCTAGATGGAAATTTTGTCTATAAATTCTAAAATGCTATAGTATTCCCAACATAGTTTTCAAACAATATTTTACTTGATTTGCTAGTGAGAGCTTGGATTATAGATAAACAAGGAAAAATGGATTCCAAATTGAAAGTCTCTTCAGAAGGTGGCAAGATTCTAGTCATATTTGTTTGGCCTTACCTTTTTATTTTTTTATACCTTAAGTTCTGGGGTACATGTGCAGAACATGAAGGTTTGTTACATAAGTATACACGTGCTATGGTGATTTGCTGCACCTATCAACCCATCATCTACATTAGGTATTTCTCCTAATGCTGTCCTTCCCCTATCACCCCACCCCGACAGGCCCCGATATATGATATTCCCCTCCCTGTGTCCATGTGTTCTCATTGTTCAACTTCCACTTATGAGTGAGAATATACTGTGTTTGGTTTTCTGTTCTTGTGTTAGTTTGCTGAGAATGATGGTTTCCAGCTTCATCCACATCCCTGCAAAGGACATGAACTCATCCTTTTTATGGCTGCATAGTATTCCATGGTGTATATGTGCCACATTTTCTTTATCCAGTCTACCACTGATGGGCATTTGGGTTGGATCCAAGTTTTTGCTGTTGTGAACAGGGCTACAATACTTGTGCATGTGTCTTTATAATAGAATGATTTATAATCCATTGGGTATATACCCAGTAATGGATTGTTGGGTCAAATGATATTTCTAGTTCTAGATCCTTGAGGAATTGCCACACTATCTTCCACAATGGTTGCATTTTACACTCTCACCAATAGTGTAAAAGTGTTCCTACTTCTCCACATCCTCTCCAGCATCTGTTGTCTCTTGACTTCTTAATAATTACCATTCTAACTGGCATGAGATGGTATCTCATTGTGATTTTGATTTGCATTTCTCTAATGACCAGTGATGATGAGCTTTTTTTTTCATATATTTGTTGGATGCGTAAATGTCTCTTTTTGAGGAGTGTCTGTTCATATCTTTCGTTCACTTTTTGATGGGGTTGTTTTTTTCTTGTACATTTGTTTAGGTTCTTTGTATATTCTGGATATTAGCCCTTTGTCGGTAGATAAATTGCAAAAATTTTTCCCTATTCTGTAATTTGTCTGTTCACTCTGATGATAGTTTCTTTTGCTGTGCAGAAGCTCTTTAGTTTAATTAGATCCCATTTGTCTATTTTGGCTTTTGTTGCCATTGCTGTTGGTGTTGTAGTCATGAAGTCTTTGCCCATGTGTCTGGCTTTACTTTTATGCTACTAACTATAACTAGGTGAAGCATGTCTCCACAAATGATCATGTTCAATGAATTCTGAGAGGTTTTAATTATGTTTCAGAATTATGCTGTATAGTTCCCTAGAGAGCAAAGTTAAAAGCCTATAGCAAGCATCCATTAGATGAAGAATCTACTTTATAAAGTATTTCTACTTTAGAGTTCTTTAGAGCTAGTTATTTCTACTTCTTTAGAGTCAGTTATTTCATTTATAAAGGGTTATGCCACTTTAGCCCTATAGGTGTAAAGTTCAGTTTATAACTTCAAAGCAGTTTTTAAAGCTTTAGCTTTCATAATAATTTGAATACAGAATGATAAATAATAACTTCTGGTTATATGAGGAACATGGTGAGAATTTAGTTCCAAATTGATCCCACAAAACCTCCTGGAAAATATTGAGAGCCACAGAAAGAATAGAAAAAAGAAAACATCATAAAATAAAAATTAAGAAGTAGATAAACCAGTATATTGCAAATTGAAAGCTAAGTTACTAATAGGACTATATATTTACAGATATATATATATATATATACATACATACACATACACACACACACACACACACACACACATACACACACACACACACACACACACACATATATATTTTCAACACATGGTATAAATGGGTCCCCAAAGAGGAACTGTGGTGATGTAACCACCATTGGTAGCAGTGGTGATATAGTTTTCACAGCCTACATATGAGCAAACCACAGCTCTTATTTCTGGTGGCAACTGCAAACCCTCAACAAGTCATTTAACAAAACATTTAAGGACAAGTAAAGAAGGAATATGTCTTAGTTTTTGCAAACCTTCTGTTGATGCATTTTTAGAAGATCAAGAAAGCGCCAGACCAGAACTTGCAGAAAACTTGTCAACAGTTTGGAAATCTGGTGACAATAACAGAGTACTATTTTTTTTTTTCATTTTGAAGTAATTTAGACAGAAAGGTTGTAAACAAAAGTAGTTAACCATAAACCTCTACTCAGCTTCCTCTGATGTTCACAGCTTCTATAAACACAGTACAGTTATTAAAACCAAGAAATTAGCATGGATGCAGTGCTTTTAACTACTTAATAGACCTTCTTATAATCTCGCCAGTTTTCCCACTAAAATCCTTTTCTGGTCCAGGACGTAAGACATCGTTCCACTTGAATTTAGCTATCGTAGTCATGTGTCTCTTCCAATATTGACTGTCCTTGATGTTCTCAGTCTTTCTTGACCTTGACACTTTCAAAATGTCGGTAATTTTGTGGAATTTCTTGCAATTTGAGTTTTTCTGATGCTTTCTCTTGATTAGGTTGAAGTATTTTACTTGATTAGGTTGAAGGATTTTTAACAAGAATCCCACGGAAATGATGCTGTGCACTTCTCAGTGTATCACATCATAATATCAGTGTCTTATTGGTGATGTTAATTTAAATATGTTAAGGTGGTCTCTTGACATATTTCTCCACTGTAAAGGTACTAGTTTTCCCTTTATAATTAATAAGTATCTTGAAGGAAGATATTTTGAAACTCTGTAACTGTCCAGATCTCATCCAGTTTTTGCCCACTAATTTCAGCATTCTACAATGATTCTTCCTATCCAGTGATTATTGTGGTATTTACTTAATGTTTTTCTGTTTCCATTGTTCCTTCTATTTTGATTAATTGGAATTCTACTTTAAGGAATAGCTATCTCTTCCCTCCCATTTATTTTTGTCCCACCACTCCACGTTTTGTGCATTATTGAGCTGTATTGGCAGGCAAAGTAATGCAAATGCTTTGAAAATAAACTATCAAAACTTCTTTGCCCAGAATTTTAAAGCAAAAAAGTAAAAGTTGTTTTCATAAGAAACTGTTGACAAGTGAAAGTCTAGGAAATGTCACTCATATTTTGGTCTTTCTGTCTCTTTCTAGCTTAGAACAAAATATGACAGATTTTTTCCACAGGCAATAGTTTAGTAGTCCCAACTTTCATTAATTATTTTTAGTAATTATTTTCAGTATTGAAAATACTGACTTCTAGTATTCATGTAAGTAATAAACATTTAAATAAGAAAAATATTTATTTTCATTTTCTAGGTGCTGGAGCAATTCTTATTCCTCGTTTAGACATTGTGATTTCCTTCGTTGGAGCTGTGAGCAGCAGCACATTGGCCCTGATCCTACCACCTTTGGTTGAAATTCTTACATTTTCTAAGGAACATTATAACATATGGATGATCCTGAAAAATATTTCTATAGCATTCACTGGAGTTGTTGGTTTCTTACTAGGTACATATGTAACTGTTGAAGAAATTATTTATCCCACTCCCACAGTTGTAGCCAGCACTGCACAAAGTCCTTTTCTAAATTTGAATTCAACTTGCTTAACATCTGGTTTGAAATAGTAAAAGCAGAATCGTGAGTGTTCTATTTTTGTCTCATTTCTGAAAATTATCAAAATAACTAGTAAAATGCCTTGTCATATACTTAAAAATGGTAACAAACTCCATTTTCTTTTGGCACAATATTAATATTTTGGAAGTAATTGTAACTCTTTACCAGCAGCGGTAAACCTATGACAAATCCTTGGTTTTAAGTGTTAGCAATAGTTTCAAAAAATTAAGTTCTGAAAATTGAAAAAAAATTAAAGAATAAAAATACTTCTATTAGTCTTTTATCTCAGTAAGAAATAACCAGGATATTTCTCTTTTATGCTATTCTTTTGCCACTAACTTGAGAAGGGAATAGGATTTCAACAATAAAATAATAAAATAAGAACATATATACAACAAGGGCTCTCCACATCATCCCCGTGAATGCCCTAGTAAACTTTATGTATAATGTAAAAAAAAGAATCTCAGTTATGGTTTCATTAGTGAGCCAGATAATAATGATTAGCTCCTGGAAATATAGAAAATTCTCATTAACATAATGTAAGCATCAGAAAATTGTAAACAATAAATTAATATTATACTCTATCAATGATAGTTGATCTTCATAATCAAGAGGCACTGTTCAAGAACCTGACTTAGTGTTTGAATGAAATTTGAAAAGGGGCTTTAAAACTTATCCAGTGGAACTCCCTTATTTTTCGTCAGAGGAAATGGAGGCCCAAAAAAGTTAAGTAACTTGGTCAAGACCCCTCAGCCTTGAGATCAAGAGAACCTAATCTCTGACTCCCAGGCCAGGATGTTTTATTTTTCACATCATGTCCAAGAAAAGGAATAAATTATGTTCAGCTTAATTTTAGTCTTGAATCTATTTAATTATATTTTAATACTTTGAAAGTGAATGTGCATTTTTTAATAGTATATGTGACCTGAGCAGAAAATCAGGGAAATCTTAAGAAGTCTCACCCTGGCTATATAAACCGCAGCAAGAGAAAGAAGCTATGTTATTTTAAAACAGAGTAGAGACCACTTGCTGTTGAAAATGTTGGCTAGTAAAATGTGTGCCCAGCTATGTTAGTTGTGGCTTGAGCTTTTTTTTTATTGTTTCATTCCTTTCCTGGGTTTTGTAGGCACCATCTTCCCAAGTGGCAGAAAATAGATACCTCAAAAAAATAGAGGATTTGTGGACTCTTTCCAGCCCTGTGGCTTTTCTTATCACAACCTTTTATTTATTATGAGCAAAATAAAAAAAAATCAGCTGGGTGTGGTGGTCCATGCTTACAATCCCAGCTACTCTGGAGGATAAGTTGGGAGGATCACTTGAGAGGCTAGGATCGTGAGACCGGCCTGGGCAACTATATAGATAGTGAGACCCTATCTATATAAAACATAAACATTTTTAAAAAGTTAGCCTGACGTGATGGTGTGTACCTGTAGTTCCGGCTACTCAGGAGGCTGAAGCAGGAGGATCCCTTGAGCCCAAGAGTTTGAGGTTGTGGTAAGCTATGATCTTGCCACTGCACTCCAGCCTGAGTAACTGAGGGACATCTCAACTCTTAAATCTAAAACAAACACAAAAAAATACAATAAGCATAAATCATAAAGGGATTCATGCTTAGAAAAAAAAATCAAGATAATAATAAACTGCCTACTAAATATTGAGACACTGTAGGCTTCTTTCAGAGAAATAAATTTCATTATTCCAGATTTTTCAAGCCCAATTACTAACCAAGATAAAGAATCTCTCAGTTGTTGGGGAAGATGAAAACTATTGAGAATAGAATGGTCTCCTGACTTTAAAAAAATTCATACTTTAAAACATGAAGTGTTTACCCAGGCCGGTGATACTTTAATTTGCTAGCATACTATACTTGAAGATACCGTCAAGATCACTATAGTTTAAATACTCTATTTTTATATGTAAATGTTAACTTCATTCAAATAGTTCTTGCTTATATCATTAACTGGTCATCAAATACAATCCTAAAGATATATCAGAAGCTTTATTTTGGTACAAAGTCATAAGAATCAAAACTTTTTTAACCATTCACATTAGGTATCACCAGTAATTGAGATACTTTTATATCAAATTTGTTACATTGAACCTTTAGTCATACTAAGAGAATGCAGAAGCTATAGGGAAATTAATCTTCACTGAAACTAATATTGCATAATCTTGAATTAGATGTTTAAAAAACTTTATGTTATTTTATTTTTACATTTTGGCTCGTTTATTGTCTTTATGGAATTTGTCAAATGCAATGAAATTTGAATAGTTGATCATAGCAATAAATAATTTTTAAATTCAGCACAAATATATCTTGAGTATATTGTCAACCAGGCTTCCTTTCCATAAGAATTGCTAAAGGAAGCCTGGTTGATAATATCATTCACTAAATGATGAATACTTTAAATACAAGAAAAAGTTGAAATGCAGAAAAGAAGAGGGGCTAAAAAGGAAGAAAGTTTTAATTCTCAACAAGAAACACTATTTAGATGGAAAGCGTAAATGTATTCTTATTAAGGGTATTTAATGATACTTTTTTGTGTGAAAATAACCAGTGGGTAATTTTTTCTCTGAAAATTTAGTTTTAATGAGTTGTAAAATTTCCTAAAGATTTTGGAGATGATATTTTGATTATACCAGCTCTTCCTTTTATTTTGGGAGCCTGCAGAAATGAGTGATTGCACCTGTCAAATTTTGTATCTCATTGCCTTTGGATCATCACATTGTGACTAAAATGACTTCAGCATTTTGTCGGCCATGACAGTGAAGAACTCTTCACTGAAAGTTAAGCAGTTGCCTGAGAGCCTTTTCTGCTACTGAGGGGGAGAAAAGTAAAGTTTTATTTACCTCTAATGAGCTCTGTTCCGACTCAGTTATCAGTGTTCCTTTATACCCAAGAGTTTAATCAGTATCAGGGTCAACTTGTCAAAGCGCTAGTTCTCAGACATTTTTTTTGGACAATCTTCTTTTCCCCACATAGCCAGATTTTTTTTTCACAGTTAAGAAAATAAGAGCTACAGCGTATTCTTGGTTAAAAACCAGTTTAGACGGTGTTACCAAATGAAAAAAGTCTGTGTTAGCAAACGCCACATTATATTTAGTCGTATTCTTAAAATGATTTCTGCCTCTTGCCTAGACAATGCACTTACATATTTACAAGCATTGTATGTCAATGTACATGTTTTGAATTTCCTAACAGTGTCTAATCTTAGCAGTTTCATAGTAGTTACATAAAATCTCTTTAACTGCAAAGTACTATAAAACATTTCTTGAAATATTAAAGTATTATATTAGTGCCATTTCTATAGTAAGACTTGGCAAAGCACAAGTCTTACTATAGCTTATGTCTTCTCACAGATTTGAGTACGGCATCTGAGTAGTAGATTTGTTTACTGACAGTATACACAAATTAGGTCTTGACCTCACTTCATTCTTCATTTGAAAGGGAGAAGATTTGAAATAGAGCTAATGTAAATAATAAATACATTTATTTAAATGACATCAGTGGCTCAATACCATCTGTTAAGGAATAAAATAATTTGGTAAAAATAAGAACATTAATAATATAAAATAATGACTTTTTAAAAAATGAATCTGATCTTTTTGGCTCACTAAGCTTTCCCTAATAAGAAAATTTGAGAAACTTGGATCTGAAAAGTATAGTAATATATTTCCTAACCTTAAATTCCTGGCTGTAATAGTTAACACTTTGCCAGCATTATGGTTTGTCATGTTTATGCCTCTGGCACTTACTAGGCTAAACTTTGATTAATTTTGACCTATGAGATAAGGAAACATGCTTAAGAAATGGCTAGAAATGCTATTTATTGCCCTATGATAAGTGAAATGGCAGATCACTCTGATTCTTAGACTTTCATATTAAAATTAGCTAGTTCCTACATGCATGAGTGCACACACACAAATCAGTAATCTATGTGAATTGTATACTAATACTAATTTACTATTTAAATTGGGTCCAATAGTTGTTTCGAAAAGAACATACTAAAAATACTTCATTAGAGTTTTCTTTATAACAAATAGGAAAATACATGTTTACATTCTGGATAAATTAAGCTGTGGGTTGGTTTTTGTTTTTCAAAATGATTTTGTTTGAAGATGAAATATCATTGCATTCAAGTCAATTCTTTTAGCATTTTTCTTTATAACAATATGAAAAAATCTGTCTTAAAGTAACTTTTCTGAATTTTCAATAAAATATTTTGCAGTTGCCTTTTAGATAATTTTTTATAAGGTTAAATGACATTGATTAGTGTCATAAGCTAAAAATGACACTAGTGTAATATTCTCATAATAACATTTTAATCAGTCTTTATGATTAATTCTCTGTTATGCTGGAAGTTGGTATTGTGTACTTCTAAGATTTAAGAGCAGAAGTTGATTAAAAATAAAAGAACAAACTCAAAATTGTGACCTGAACTTCCTGCAGCATGAATGCAGGACAAGCCATCTGCAGATGCTGCATTCATGATTTAATTTACTGCTTTCGTAAGGTCAAGAATATGTATCAGTCATTTTGTTTGCATTACAAAATTGGAATAATGCTTTTGGGAAAGCCTTATGCCAATCCTGTAATAAAAGATCATAAAGATATTTATACCTTTGCATCAGTAATCCTGCTCTTATGAACTTAGCATAAAGACATATCATAGTTTGGCCAGGTGTGGTGGCTCACCCCTGTAGTCCCAGCACTTTGGGAGGCCAAGGCAGATGGATCACGAAGTCAAGAGATGGAGACCATCCTAGCCAACATGGTGAAACCTCGTCTCTACTAAAAATATAAAAATTAGCTGGGCATGGTGGTAGGCACCTGTAGTCCCAGCTACTTGGGAGGCTGAAGCAGGAGAATCATTTGAACCCAGGAGGTGGAGATTGCAGTGAGCCAAGATTTGTGCCTCTGCACTCCAGCCTGGTGACAGAGCAAGACTCTGTCACAAAAAAAAAAAAAAAAATCATCAGAAGAGAGATGCTATGACTAAAGGTGTATTACAACATTATGTTTTAATGTGAGAAATTGGAAACAAGCTACATGTTCAACAAGAGGGAGATCATAATGAAGATTATGTAAATTACACCAAAGTTATACTGAGGACTAATAATTTGGGAAATTAAAAATTGCATAAAATTAAATTTAAATTGCAGCTCTGCAAAATATGCGTCCAGGCCAAGAAACAGAGATTTGTGGAAAATGGAACCATAATGTCAGAATAAAGAAATGAGTTTTACTAGTTTTAAATGACTAGTGGAAGGAGGCATGTGAGAGGAATAAACAAATGGTTTTAGGAACAGGAAATTTATAAAGCCTTAGTAGTAGTACATGCTTCTGGCAAGCAACAGAAAGAACATAAAGACAACACACACACACACACACACACACACACACACACACACACACGAGAGAGAGAGAGAGGGATAGGATGGACTTGGTTAATGTAAATTGCAAGGAAAAGCCCTGTGGGGTACTTGCTGGAGGAAAAAAAATAAAGATGGCTAATACTACTTTAATTGGTAAAACAAGGTACTACTCTGTTCTTTAAAAACCAAGAAAGGTTTCTTTGGAAAAGGTTGCACATTGTTTTATTTTAAGTTCTGGGATACATGTGCAGAATGTGCAGGTTTCTTGCATAGGTAAATGTGTGCCATGGTGGTTTGCTGCACTTATCAGGCCCCAGTGTTTGTTGTTCCCTTCCCTGTGTCCATGTGTTCTTATTGTTTACCTCCCACTTGTAAGTGAAAACGTGATATTTGGTTTTCCGTCTCCTTTGTTAGTTTGCTCAGGATAATAGTTTCCAGTTCCATCCATGTCTCCACAAAAGACATGATCTTGTT